GTAGCAGCTACCCAGAGCCTGGGCCAGTTGCAGCCAGGAGACTGCAAACATCTGCTCCGGCATCAGCTCCATACCAACAGGTGCACGCGTGCCCTCAGAGCAGATGGTGGGGACAGGGCCTGAGGCAGCACAGCCCACCCACTATCCACTCTGAGGTGTATGTGCAGTAGCTGCCAACATGAAGCTGTGAAGCCTGGCACAGCTGTTTGCAGCCTGCTTGCTGCCTGCTGTAGCTGCCCAGAGCCCAGGCTGGCTACAAACAGCTGTGCCAAGCTCCAGAACCCCGTCATCAGCTCTGTGCCAGCAGTGGGGGAGAGGCCGGCATTGCGCTGCCTCAGGCTCCCCCACCACCATCTGCTCCGAGGCGCACGTGCACCCGCTGGCCTGGAGCTAATGTTGGAGCCCGGAGTAGATGTTTGTCTCCTGGCTCCAACCAGCCTAGGCTCTGGGTAGCTGCTACCAACCACAGAGCCTGGTCTGCTTGCAGCCGGGCTTGCAGACGCCCAGCCACCTGCTGGGAGCAGCCCAGGCCTTGTGGCTGGCAGCAGACGCCTAGAGCCCAGGCTGGCGGTGGCATGCTGAGCAAAACGGCCTTGTGTGCCATGCTTAGCACACGTGCCAGGGGTTGCCAACCCCTGGTATATGGCATGTAGCTACCCTTCCCATTTCACAGATAGGCAAACTAAAATACCAAGAGACCGAGGAATCATTCCAGCTCACAGAGCAAGGCAATGGCACAGTCAAGAACTGAACTTGGTAACCCTTGTTTCAAGCATCTCTTCTATCCACAGGCAGCACTATATAGATTGGATGACCCTCCTGGAAGGGATGCTATTAGACATAGAATCTAGATTGGACTCAAATGCTTGAGCAGAGGGATATGAATAGCCAACAGTATTTGGAAAAAAATCACTGCACATTTCAACAGCTTCTTGTGAAGACCAGATGAGAACCAGAGGTTTGGACACACCTCCCAAGTTTCGCCCTCAAGCCCCAAGTATTGATGTATTCTTACTGAAGGCCATTTAGAGAGGACATCATGACTATTCCACACAGGCTCACCTTGGAGGAGCTTATGCAGGGTAGCAGCATCCTTGTCTTTGCCCCCAGAACTAGGAAGTGTGGTCAAGGAATGGGAACCATCTCCCAAGAACCATGTTTTATGTAAACTTTCCCCTTCCCCACACAGTTTTGTGCCACCCCCCCGTCACACTAATAACAGACAAGAAAATGTGGTGTCCTTACTCCAGTATGATGTTATTGACATCCTGGGTGAAGAACCGCTGTTTGCCTTCTCCTTCTGCAGCTCTTGCAGCCTGGGTTACGCCAAATGGTAAAACATTAGTTCACACACAGATACAGAGAAGTACGAGCAAGCCAGGTTCTTTCAGAAAGGACCCTGTAATATGGCTCTACTGACAGTGATGCCATTTAGATATGGGCTACATCCCCAATAATGGCACTGATGTTACATAACACCATTCACAAGATAAATTCACTGGCTTCTGGGATGGACTGAGTCTTGCTCTATTACTTCTGAACAAATTATAAGTACCTCCTGGAGGTAGGCGCTGCCTGCTCCCCAGCCTGACTCCAAGCTGCCCCAGATCTCTCCTCTTTCTCTGACCTGCAATGCAGCAGTGCCAACACTCACCTTTTCTATGAAAGAAAGCTCCTAAGAAGGTGCCCTGCAGTGCAGTCCCAGTCTGCTGTGGGCAGCATTCCAAGAACTATCCAAGACACATACTGTTGCAGTTTGGCCCAGCCTCTATGGGTCACTGCTTTCATCTGAATGGATATACGGGAAGATATCTATCAATGCTTCTGGGCCAGTCAGCAGGGGAGTGGGTCCCAGAAACAAAAAGAACGCAGAGCCAATATTGCTAATAAATGGTCTCCCTGATAGAGCACCATGACACAAGCGGAGACTCCAGCCCCTGAAAGCCGCTAATGCACAGAGCAAGACATTCAAACTTCCTTCTGCTAAACAATGTTGTATTCTTGGTACCCTAATACAGACTTTATGTTATTAATTAACCACACAGGAAAGCAATGCTTAGGAAAGCAATTACACAGGAAAGCAATGCATACAAAGTTTCTTCTCAGTGACTTCAGGTCATGGTTTGTAGAATGCTCACCCCAAATTTTTAGACACAACTTGCTCAGCAGAAAATGCTGCTTCGTTGAAAGTGAGATTTTGTTTTTGGAAAGGAAAAAAAAGCTCGTCTTTAATATCTGGAGTTTCCCCATGAAACAAAATCCAGTTTCTGGCCACCTCTAGTTCCTGGCCTAGAAAGCAGCAAGCTGAGACAATCAACCTGTTGGCTTCTTTGTGGAAGATGAGAGGTCCCATCCCTTCCCATTGTGCTAGCCAAGCATAGACTCTACCAGTCAATACATCTGCTCATTCTCTAGTGTTAAGAAATCTCCATTCTTTCACTCCAAACAATGCCACAATTCCTTCATTGAGGTGGGAGTGGGACTCAGGTCCCAGATTAGCAGAGCAGAGCCCCCGGCAGCTTCTCAGTAGGTCCAGATTTGCCTCATGTTTAGTTCCCAATGACGCCAACAAAAATGAGTCCCATGCTATTCTGAGCCACAGTGAGGTGAAGCGTGACTACTTTCTGAAATGAGGGGCTGGAGGAAAGAGCAATAGCTCTGGACTGCAAGCAGGATTCCCCCTGACCAGAATCAGATATAAAAGGTCCCTTGTTCTCTCTCAAGTCCTCCCTTTCTGGCAGGACCATATCCTGCCTCAGACCCATCAAGCTCTGGATGCTATAGCCACTCACAAATTACACACTAGTGTGGCCTGTGAAGCTGAGTGAGAATACTCCTGTCATGTGGCAATGAACATGGCTCATTAGCAACCAGCTCACCTGGTATGTTTTGACAGCAGCCTTCCCAAGAGAGCTAGGGAGAACTCCTGCAACACAGCAAAAAATAGCTCCAGAATGCACAGCTTTTCATTTCATGGTGGAGATGCTGAACCTGAGTTTGTGGTTTGGAAAAGAAGTGCTGTGTGTGTGACTGGCATCCAACCTGCCCTTAGAGGAGGCAACCTCACCCTTACCACTAATATGTTTCAGCAAGGCTGGTCCACTCTGGATGCTAAGCAATGAGACCTCCTACAACAGGACAGAATGCTGGCTATACATTGATGACAAAAAGTATAAGATCCAGCAGAAAAATCCTGTACATGAAGCTCCCCAAGATTGGTCCCCATCTCCAACAGTACCAGGTGACAGGCTACACATGAAAGGCTGGAAAAAGCCAAGGCAATTCCATTCTAGAGAGAAGGCACATGATCAACATCCTTCCAGGGTGGGGAGAGTTAAACCCCAAAACTCCAGAAGTACAGAAATGCCTATAGGATTTATTCTGCCAGAGGGATGTCTCCAGATCCTGAGGTGGGAACAAAATGGATTCTTTTAGGGTAAGGGTGGGGGCAGAAGAAAGAGAGGCTGTATTTTTATCCCCTATCTCCACCTGCTAATAGGTTTAATTTTGGGGCCCCAACTGACCAAAGCTGCTTCCTTGCCTATAAAAATCATGCTCCAGCCACAACAGGTGCAGAAGCAAAGGGTGCTTTTCTACCAGGTGGTGAAACATTCCATTGCAGCCCACAGCAACTTGGAGTAATCTGCCATCACTTTATCTTGCAGCAGTGTAATAATTAACTCTGTGTCCAGGGAGCCTCCACATTATTCACCTCCAGCTCAGATACACTTCATGGGCAGCCTGTTTCAGTGTTATCCATTAACAGCAAAAACAAACAGCAACTTTTACAAAGAGTCCCATAGCATTTTATCATGCACAGGCAGCTATGCCAACACCTTATCCAACTTGTCCTATGATGCTGATGGCTCACCACTGTTATAAAGGTTTCAGGAATGGCAAAGAAGCTCTCTTAACAGAAGGCTAGAAGACAATGACCCTATCCCAAGAGCACATAATCCTAGTTAGTACAATGGCAGAGCTTAGGACCTTGAATCCAAGTTTAACCTGTAACCTTAGTAACAGGGCCGAAGCATCACCTCAGTGGTTCATGGACAAGTAACGGCTGCTACCATGAGGAACAGAATAACCAAAAGCGAGTCTATTTTTAAAATGCAATTCTTTAAAGATGTCATCAGGGGCTCCATGGTTAATGTCTTTGCACATCCTACAGAACCAAGAGCACTCCACCCATCAAATAGTTCCACAACAGGGAGATCCAAAAGCAAGATTGGGTGCTTTGCATCCCACCCTCCCTATCAGAAATGCAGACCCAACTGTGGTGTGTTGTAAAAAGTCTCAATGGAGGTATCCATCTACAAGCATCTCATGGAGATCCCACAAATGGAGCAGAGTTAACAGCTAAACAGTGAATACTAGGTACCTGCTCATTATAAGGACACAATGCTGAATGTAGTGTCTTTTCAATCTCTATTCTGATCATTACTGCATATTAAAGCTATTATAATGTAACCTGGCTTATAATGTAACCAACTTTATTAGCTCTTATTATAAGCCCACTCATGCTCAGTCAGCCATGGAAAAGTCCTACTAGTTCAAGTCTCTACCTTGCCAAGCCATGGAGCCAATGCTTGCTACCTGCTGGCAGTAACACTTTGAGCTAAGCTCCTAAGTCAAAGAACAGCATTCTCATATGATCACAAAGCACTGACAGCAGGAGGAAATGGAACTGTACTATACCAAGCCCTACACAGTCTTCCTCTTCCATGAACTAGAGAAACTATGAGAAATGAAGCTACGCCTCCATTTGAAAGAAATCCACCTGTGAATGAAACAGAAGAGGCTTATCCTCCTCAAGAAGCTGCATGATCCATCTGCCACACATTGGGTAGGACACCCCTTGCCTAGCCTAGACATGCCTAGCAGCAGGTACCTGGGTCAATTCCTTGATCCGTCTCTCCAGTGGAGCTGGTAGTCCTTCTGGGAGGGAGGGTGGCTGTTTAAATTCCTGTTCCAAACCCATCCCAAGAGGGTCACTTCCATCCTCCACATCATGGAAGGGACTCCCTTCTGGAGATTCATTGAAGAGCCGCTCCAGGTCCAGGTCCAGATCATTCAATGAGTCCACAGCAGTGACAGCCTGAAGCAAGTCATTATCACTGGCATGGCCAAAGAGAGATAGCAAAGGATCAGATATGGTCTCCACTTCTCGTGGGGCCGGAGCTTCTGCTGGGGTGAGTGTCACCATCTTCTGCTCCTCATCCCTCTTTTTCTGAGCTTCCTTTTCCTTCTGGAATTTCTTCAGCATCTCCTTGACGCTCAAAGCTCCAGAGTATTTCTTTTTCTTCTTCTCTTTACTGGCATTCAGTGCTGTGAAGCTGCAAGTGAGGGAGGAGGGGAAAAAAAAACAAATTAGATCCCATTTATGCCAGGAAGTCCCATAAAGAGAAATTAATTTTGCAGAGCAAGGAGAGGAGAAAGGAAACCCCTTCATACCAGCACAGCCAGGGTCTAGCACTTCTCCCATCCCACTCCTCCAAACCAGAAATTACTCAGGCCGTTCCTAGGAATTTGGTACCAGATTCAGCCAACCAGAGGCACTGACTATGCCTCAGAAACACTCTGGTCAATATACATGTATTTAATGATTTACCTGACTGTCAAGTGATTTCTCTATTTTAACATACAAAGAAGTCCATGCCTCACATGCCTCATTTTAAAATCTGTTCTGTTTCCTGCACACAGTCTACAGACTTAAGGATTATTTCCTATGAAATAGCTAAACGAGGAGTAAAGTCATTTAACAAGACTACTATCGGGTTACAGGCCAACAGAGACAATGGATGGTCTGAAGTACAGCAGCACTGGAGACAAAGGAAGTCTGAGAATGGGAAGCTCATTACTGTCCTGTGCATTCTACTGGCTCTATCTGATTTCACGGACACTTTAAGGCCCTGAAACTTATTTTAAGGCTCTTCCTAGGCTAAGGTGTAGTTTTCTATCCTTGAAAAAACACCTTTCTATCCAAAATCTCACGAGCATGGGTCTTCCAGGGAGCTGTGTCCCTTGGAGGTGGCTAGAGGGGATTCCTGATACAGGTCTATGGCATGTGGGATTCTATATACCAACAAGAGACTGGCCCAATGCCTGACCTAGTTCTGCACATAATCTCTCTTTCAGTGATGTGGGGGTGTGACTGGAGCTTAAGTTCCCCCTGCCAGCAAGTGCTGCTTGTAGTTAATCACGTACATGCAATTCAAGATACCGCAGCAAAAGTACCACAATGACAGAAACAGAAACCTGCCCCATTAGCATTAAAATGCAGCACGGCCAGAGTTAATTTAGAAGCAGCCTAATTGCTTTAAAAATAATTTATCCTCTACCAAACTCCACCACATTCCCTTTTCAGTTGGCTCTTGAACCTCCCAGAACTGACATGGGATCTCATGGTTTTTCAGAGAAAGAGAATTGTAATGGGGGAGGGACTGCCCACAGCAAGCCAGCAAGGAAGCTGAGAGGAGTAAAGTGAGTAGAGAAGTAGGCTGGGCAGAGTAGGCTGGGCATAGAAGGCAGAACCAGACATCAAAGCCAGTAGAGGAGAAGCATTACAAGTCTGCTAATGACAAAAGTAACCAGCTGCATTGATAGCAATAAGTCCCTTCCATGGGGAGAGACTAAAGACATCTGAGCACTAAAACTGCCTTGGGCACGGAATTGAAAATGTGACTGGGGAAGGCAGCTGGAAACTGCTTTTCAGTCTAGCTCTAGCTGTCCCAGTCTCACAACTCCTCTTCCCAGCTAACCCAATGTTCGCTATCCATCATCACCTGGCATTCTTGCCCTATGAATGAGCAGAGTGAACAAACATATGCCTCACACGGCTGTGACGCTGCTGCATGGATGTTCTGCACTTTTCCCAACCCTGGCTTTGGAGCCATGAACTCTATGGGACAGGGGTAGTGTGTTCCTAGGTGCTTATGCAGTGCCCACCACAAGGACTCCTGCCCCAACCCCAGCTGCAGCCAGGGCCATCCCTAGGGGGGTGAGAATTGGGGCAACCGCCCCAGGCCCCATGTTTTGGGAGGCCCCGCAGAGCCGGGCAGAGAGGCTGCAGCTGCAGTTAGGCCATCCACGCACATGGTGGGTTGGACGGCTCTTTGCCTTTTCCGGCCAGAAGTTCCCACCACCACCCATCCCGCCACGTATGGTGTGCTGGGGCTTTCACTCTCCTGTGTAAGTGTGCCATGGGACGGGGAGGGGGGCCCTGTGCAGGCTGCTTTGTCCCAGGCGCCACACATGAGATTCTATATGGACTGAATAGGTGTCAGGCCTTCAAAAAGGCCCTGCTGGGATCATCTCTGGCTGCAGCCTTTGGACACTGCTTACACATGCTGCAGTGAAAACCATCTGTTCTCATAGGGGCAGCCATCATTTCCAGCAAGCCTCCAGGTAGAGAGGGCTCCATCTTACCCGGCTTTGGGGAACTTGGATTTTTTTGACTTTTTTTCCTTGTCATAAGAATCATCTTTTTTCTTCTTCTTCATTTTTTCACCGCCTTCTTTCAACTTCCGCTTCTAAGATTAAAGATAAGCCAGAGTTAGGGGCTCTAGGACCCACTCTACAGCAAGGACCTTCTGTGTCTCAAAGGCACATCTAAGGGCCATCTCAGGCCATCAAAAGTAGTCTGCAAGTATCTTGTACTAATCCATCCTGCACAATAGCTAGGGCAGCTCTAGGACAACCGTCTACCACTTAGGGATGGGATGGCATTCCAAGATCCCAGAGGCAAATAAATGGTGACTGAATTTCCCTGTCAACCTTGAATCAAATATATTCTATATGGACTGATTAGGTGTCAGGCCTTCAAAAAGCCAGTACCATAATACAAGCTTCCACAAACAACATCCTCCCTCCCCACCACATCTCACCCTAGGCTGGAAGGCTCATCCCTTACATAGGAGGAAAGGCTATTCCTAGTCAGTTCTTGGTTTCTCCACTAACATTAACTAACTTTTTAGGATGACAACTTAGATGCTGTCACTTCACCTATAGGAGGCAAAAAGAGACTACCCATGAATTGAAACAGCAGGACCAAATGTCTTCCTACCCAATGGGCACAAGGATGGGACTGAACCCATGACCTAGAGGTCAAAACTAAAGCCATGACCAAGGGGTGCATCATTGCCAACTTCCTCCCCACAACAGCAGGCAGTAAGTCAAGGCCCCTCTTATTCCAGAGCTGCTTTCTGGCAGCAAATTCAAACCATTATCCCTCAATTTTAACAGAGCAACATGCTCCTGAATCTGCACTAACCTTGGGAGATTTCTTCTTCTTCTCTTTGATAAAGTCATCCTCCGATTCCGATGCTTGGCGGAACTGCAGCGTTCCTGAGTTGATGTAAAACCCTCCATACTTTGTAGTCAGAGAAGCTGGAACAAGTTCATCGTACTGGAAAAGAATGCAAGAGCACTTGATTGGTGATGTCAGGTTAATCATGCTATGCCTACATGAGACCTGGTTTTGGAATGGAAGTAGCATTGCAAGCTTACTAATAGGGCTGTTTGTGGGACAGCCTGTCTGGTAACTAGGCATTTTCCACTATGCAGGTACCCCTGGAGTCATCATTATACTTCCCTGGCACACTCCTTCCCTGAACTGTATTAACATGCTCCCCTGCCACCACCTGCTTCCCACAAGGCAGCTCAATTTACAATCCCTCTCCTCTGAATTACTCACCGCTTCAGAATTATCAATGAAGGAATCGGATTCGTCATACCCATACCCCATATCAATCAAGTCCTGAATACGGTCCTTCCTGCGTTTCTTGCCCCCCTGAAATGATAGAGATCAATGACATTCCACTGTTCTCACAAGCTACTACAGGGACTATTGCTCGTGCAGAAGGCTAGCGCTTCTTTTCAACGCAAATCAAGGGAGCACTCCCTCTTAGCCTTCTTCCTACAAGGAAAGGGCTGGGATGGGTGAAAGCAAGGGAGGCATCGTGGTCTGTTCACATCCATATGGGCACAGCCTTGCTTCAGCAGGTAGAGGTACAACTCTAAGACCATGTAAGGAAACAGAATCAAATTCACTTGTTTCGATTTCCAGCGCTGAACCAGTGATACAAGACAATCTACCAAGACCTTAATACCAGGACTTGAAAAAAGCAACATATACCCATCCCTTATGAGCCCACCCTAAAGTCCATCCTCTCCCCCACCCAAAACCACACCACTGCAGTTATTTAAAAAAAACTCAGATTATCCTTTGCAAGGGATTAGCAACAGAAAGACTATGAAAACTAGGGAAGACAGCTGACAAAGTTCGGAGCAGCACAGGCACTCCCCTAGGTACTTCCCACACGTTCTGGGAATGTCTGAGCCCTTGCTTATTATTGTCATGTCCTCTGATGCCTTTTAAGCATCTGAGACATATCAGCTGAGCATAGGAAGGAACCTCAAAGAAGGAGTTGCCCATGGGAAGCTTCAGGGACCACTTGAGGTGAAGACCAAGTCAAGAGGATGAAAGTATTTTAAAACAGCACAACAAGGTGTCTCCCACTTTAAAAAATGAAGACTAGGGAGAGGTAAGCAAGATGTATTCTCACCCCCTCAACTAACAGACAAAGCACCTACATCCCAAATGACTCTTAAAAGCTTTCCTAAGCAGCAAAACAATAAAACTGACTGAATTCATGTCAACTTCACTGCTGTCCTGGAAAAGCAGTGACTGGCAAAACAGGTCATTTTCCTCATTCTGTTGCTGTCTGGCAAATTCCTGAATGTCACCACCACCACCACACAAATACACATTTAAAAGACAGTATGCTATTGATTCATATGAGGAATTTTAAAGGAAGTATAAGCTTCCAGCCCTTACAAAAAAAAGGAAAGTTTAGATTGCTTTCATTGAGGACACTTTCCATTAACAAGGGAAAATGAAAAGCTTAAATTTATCTTCCTGAAGGAAGTATCATGTTTTTATTACTGAGACAGAAATAAGGTTGTTTTCCAAGAGAGATAAAGGCTCTCACCAACATAGGGACATAAGTTGCAATAGCCTTCATTCCTACAGTACAACTGTTAGATAGCAAAGAGGATGAAATAGAGATAACACTGACAGAATTACTGTAGGAAAAAGAAGAAAAAAAACCCCTTACATATTTCTCTTCAAACTTCCGGGCAAGAGCCTCCACTTTGTGTCTCTCTCTTTCCTCATCATTGAAGGGATCAACATGGTCTTTCCTCTGTGGACATGAACACAGGTGAACATGTCAGAACAGATGGCCAATATTCAATAAGATACACAAATATTTTCTGCAGGTATGTTACTACTTCCCTCTGTGCATTAAAAGCACAAGAGGTCTCATGCTACAAGGAATGGGACAGCTTTGTAAGCTTCAACATAGGCAAAGCTTGAAGACTGAATCAGATAATGGCTGAAAAAGCAAGCTAAGTACTAGGTAAGTTCTGAGAAGGTGCAATTAGCTTTCAACCATTCCTCCATGAAACCTGATGAGAAGGGCAGAGGATGCTGGAATTCATGAACAAATGTTTTGTCAAAGTGTGTGCTGGGCCTTTTTTTTTGGTTTGTTTTAACAGCTGGCCAGCAGGTGACTAATAAATCCAACCTCATCCCCCTGCCCCTTATCTTCTGGCAGCTAGAAAAGCAGCAGCTTGTTTTTGCACTCTTCACCACCCTGTTGCACCCTTGACACTCCTGGCTGATAATCGCGCGCGCACACGCACGCACGCACACAGAGAAACAGTTGCTCCCCACACTTTCACTACAGCATCTGTTGCTTGGAATTTCACTCACAGCAAAAGAGGGGTTGCCTCTTCTGCCTCTCAACTCTCAAAAATAGCAGCTCAACATTGAGTATTTCTGTCTGAACAGAAGCCTTGAAAATGAACCAGAATTCTGTTCATCTCCCCAGACAACACCACAGCCACGTTTATGAAGTACAGCACTGGGGCTGTCTACCTGCAAACTCAAAGTCTCGGTTTTTCCAGAATATTATCCTCTTGTTTCTTCTTATCACCGTGCAGGCCATTACACAGAGTTTAGTTTCTACAGAAATTGAGATGCAAGATCAACCTCCCACAACAACTTACAAGGAAAGTTACCAACTTAGAAACAGGTAAATGTCAGCATAGAGTGCCAACTGAAAACACTTTTCACACCAAACAAGAACACATAATGAGGACTCAGGCAGAAATACCTCCATGCAGTACAGAGATGTCTCTGCCAGTTGCACAAAAAAATAAGGACCCGGTGTAGTATCAGCAAGAATCAGATCTGCTGGCAAGGTTCTCTCAAGACTAGTCACATATTTTAACAATTCAGGTACCACAGAACACTTCAATCAGCCTGTTTCAGGTCAAATCAACAACATGGTGTCACTTCTCCACTTTCCAGACAACACTGACCGTTTCATGGGGAATTCTACTGAAGGTCAAAACTAAGCAAGAGCTGTCACTTGGCAAGAGCACAGATCTGGCAGCCAGGAGTCCTGCACTCGGCTGCCAGTTCTGCCACCAGCTTGACATGGGGTCTCTGGCTGATCACTTCACCTCTCCGTGCCTTTGTTTCCCCAGTTTTAGAAGTGGAGATCAAGCGTATCCCGGGCTCAAGGGTATTCTAAGAATTAACATTACGAAGCTCTTTGAGATCCGTAGATGAGAAGTACGCGGTATGTTTTTAGCAAACAAAAGACGCTCACCTTGTCTCCAGAAGAAACACCCTTCAGTTTCCCTCGAGTGTTCTTCAGAAGCTCAGGGTAGAAAAACTCCGGGCAACGCTTGTGATCCGGCTCAAAAAGGGTGAGCGTGATGCGAACTGCCGCTGCGGCCGGTTCAGAGTCCTGGGGCAGCTCCGCTCCCGACACATCCTCCCTGCGAGGCTTCTTCAAGAAGCTGGTGCTCAGCGGACCTGGGAGAGAAGTGAACTGAACCCGGTGGGGCTCCGTCATGGCTACGAGCAAGTCTGGGCAGCTCTCACGGCATGGCTTCCATTAGCTCTGAGAAGTCCTGGGCAAGAGGCCTTCGGCGGGAGGGACACACAGGGAGATGGTTAAGGATACGGGAGCCGACTGGACCCGGAC